ATGCAATATCTAAAATTAAAAATTCATTGGATAAGATAAACAGCAGAATGGTAATAACAGAAAAATGTCAACTTTAAGTTAGATTAATAGAAAATTTCCAACATGAAGAATACAGAGGAAAAAGGGTAGGGAAAAAAATTTTAAAAACCTCAGGACTCATATAGCAATATCAAAAGATCTAAAATACATGCAATTGGAGTTCCAAAAGGAGAGCAAAACAAGAGAGAGAAAAAAACTTGCAGATACAAAAGCCAAAACTTTCACAAATTTGGTGAAAGACGTAACTTTAGAAGTTCAGTGAACCACAAGCAGAATAAATACAAAGAAAACCACATCTAGGCACATCATAGTCAAATGCTAAAAACCAAGATAAAAGAATTACGGTTTGTCTTTTTATATTTAAGATTACTTCCTAACACAGACTCCTAAAAGCCTAATAACATGGCCAAAAGAAATCAACATTTTAAAATTTTCTCATAGATACTGCCAAACAGCTTCCCCTCAAAAATATTAGTGTGGCTGAAGCACAGTGGGTACAAATAAGAGTGACAGAAATAAGAACAAAAACATATGCAGGGACGTAAAGTAGGTAAGGAGTTTGGGACTTTATTCTAATATAAATAGAAGTTGTTTAACAGGTTTTAAGCCAGGAAAAGACCCAGTTACTATAATTCAGAGTATTTATCTTAAGAAAGTAAATCTAAAGAAACAAAAACTTAGCTGACTAAAGAAACTGATTGGATGTCCAACATCATCACTGTATAGATACAGATATGCCTATGTATGTGTATTTATATATATCATGTATATAAACATACACACATCACATATATAAAACCACCAACAAAAAAAAGACTTACATATCCAGCAATAAGAAAATGGGGAAATGTTTAATAAATTATGATTCAGAAATGCAATGAAATAGTATGAAGCTCTAAGAATAGTATTTATGAAGACTGTCAAAATATGGAAAGTGTACTTTGCATTTGGTCAAAAAAGCAGAAAAGAAAATTATATGTGTACTAGCTTTGTAACTATAAAACATAAGTCTATGAACAATTAATAAAAAATAATATACAAAAACAAAAAGGTTATGTTAGGGTGGTAGAAATTTTTTTTCTAATTTTCAAAATCCTTACAGTATCATTGCTACATCATCATTTCAATTAAGTAAAATACTTTTCTACATCTTACTTCCAATACAATTCCCATATTGGGCCTATAATAAATATTAACTGATTTTCATCAATTTAAAAAATAATTAAAAGAAATCTCTTTTCCAAATCCTGTTGGTTCTCTTAATCTTGGTTCCTTCTGCTGCCACCAGCCAACAGCTCAAAGAAGAGTAACAATTTTCTTTTTACACAAAAGATGCTTCTAAACCAGCTTCTCTAGTTCTTGCCTCTTAAACGATTCTGTCTCCCTCTTCTCCATTTGTTCCATAAAGTTAAACAAATTGAGAAGGTTATACTCTATAACTAAACTTTACTCATATTTTTTTTAAAGATTTTATTTTTCCTTTTTCTCCCAAAGACCCCGAGTACATAGTTCTGCATTTCTAGTTGTGGGTCCCTCTACTTGTGGCATGTGGGACGCTGCCTCAACATGGCTTAATGAGCAGTGCCATGTCCACGCCCAGGACTCGAACCAGCAAAACCCTGGGCCACCAAAGCAGAGCGCACAAACCCAACCACTTGGCCACAGGGCCGGCCCCCTTTACTTGTATTATTAACATACACTCAGGGCTGACGTTCATGACTATCTTTCCTACCCTTCAGATGCCTCGCCTACCATCAAAGACAACCTCTCTCACCTAAACCCTCATTCTCTTGCTTCATATTCTGTCTTTTGAAGGCTTTTTTTCTATGTCACTCCTCCACTTTATGACTTGGTATCCTCTCCCTTCTTATTTTCAAGATCATTGCATCACCATTATTCCCTACTAAATATGATAGTTCTCCATATCTGCCAAGCTTGTGGTTCCCAGTTCCTTCTCCTGACCTGACTATTACATTAGATTAGAGCAGAGATCCCCAACTGTGTGCTGTGAGTAGGCTGTGGGTGTCCTAAGACACTGATCTCCTCAGATCTTTGGGGCAGCCAGGAGTGGCCTGGGGCGGGTGGAGCTCCTAGCTAGCTTACTCCTGACCTTAAGCCTCCTCTGTTTAGCCCTAGTGCACCCAATAAATGTTATCATCTTCTATGTATGCCATCATGTGAAAAAAAAAAAAAATGAGAAGCATAAAGGACTTCAGTAGTCATTTCTCCAAAGAAGATATACAAATAGCCATATGCACATGAAAAGACGCTCAACATTACTAATCAGTAGGGAAATGCAAATAAAAACCACACTGAGATACCACCGCACACTCATTAGGATGAAGACTATTAAAAAGAAAACAGAAAATAACCAGTGTTGGCAAGGATGTGGAGAAACTGGAAACCTTGGGCACTGTTGGTAGGAATGTCAAATAGTACATTCTACTGTGGAAATCATAATGGCAATTCCTCAAAAAATTAAAAATAGGATTCCCACATGACCCAGCAATTCCACTTCTGGTATATACCCCAAAGAATTGAAAGCAGGGTCTTGAAAAGGTATTTGTACTCCCATGTTCACAGCAACATTATTGACATTAGCTAAAACAGGGAAGCAACCCATGGGTACACCAACAGATGAACGGATAAGCAAAGTGTGGTAGATACATACGATGGAATAGTGTTTAGCCCCAAAAAGGAAGGAAATTCTGACCCATGCTACAACATAGATGAACCTTAAGGTCATTATGCCAAGTGAAATAAGCCAGTCACAAGAGACAAATACTGTATGATTCTACTTATATGAGGTATCTAGAGTCGTCAAAATCATAGAGACTGAGAGTAGAATGGTGCTGCCAGGGGCTTAGAGGAGGAGGCAATGGGGAGTTACTGTTTAATGGGTGTAGAGCTTTAGTTTTGTAAGATGAAAAGAGTTACGGAAATGGATGGTGGTGATGGTTGCACAATATGAATGTACTTAATCCCACTGAACTACACAATTAAAACTGGTTAAAGTGGGGGCCAGCCCAGTGGCGTAGTAGTTAAGTTCATGTGCTTCACTTCGATAGCCCAGGGTTCATGGGTTTGGATGCCAGGCGCGGACCTACACACCACTCATCTAGCCATGCTACGGTGGTGCCCCACATAGAAAATAGAGGAAGACTGGGACAGATGTTAGCTTGGCGACAATCCTCCTCAGGCAAAAAGAGGAAGACTGGCAACAGATGTTAGCTCAGGGCCAACCTTCCTCACCAAAAAAAAATAAATAAATAAGGTTAAAGTGATAACTTTTATGTTATGTGTATTCTACCACAATAAAAATTAGAAAAAAATTGAGAAGCACCAAGGCTTGAAGTATCTCTTTCATTGCTTCACAAGACATATTTAAATTCTTAGAATAATTCTACAGACTATTTTTATTATTAAGCTAGACATTTTTATACAGTAGTTCCCCCTAGCAGTGAGGGATATGTTCCAAGACCCCCAGTGGATGCCTGAAACTGCAGATAGTACCAAATTCTATATACACTATGTTTTTTCCTATACATACATACCTATGATAAAGTTTAATTTATAAATTAGACACAGTAAGAGATTAACAACAATAACTAATAATAAAATAGAACAATTTTAACAATACACCGTTATAAAAGTTACCATAGATTTTAAAAACCTCAGCATACAATTTTTTTCCTTTCCTTATTAAATCGAGAACTTTCACCTTTTAACTTAAAGGAAGCAATTTCTGTCTTCTCTTTGGCATATGTGAATTGCCAGTATCACTACTCTTGCATTTTGGGGCCATTATTAAGTAAAATAAGGGTTACTTGAACACAAGCACTGCAATACTGTGACAGTCAATCTGAGAACGGAGATGCTACTAAGTGACTAAGGGGCAGGTAGCATATACACTGGACAAAGGGATGATTCATGTCCCAGGTGGGAGGGAGCGGGACAGCATGAGATTTCATCATGCTACTCAGAATAGCACACAATTTAAAACTTATGAACTGTTTATTTCTCACACTTTCCATCTAATATTTTCGGACAGCAGTTGACTATGGGTAACTGAAACCGTGGAAAGAGAAACCTTGGCTGAGGGGAACCACTGTACTGAAACACAGACTTCTCTAGCCTTCTCTCCAGAGTACATAGCCTACCTTAGACATACACCCTTTGAGGAAGCTGATGTTTCTTTCTCTCATAGCTATTTGTATTGTAATGGCATAAATTTTGTTCCTACCTTTTAAAATGGAAAATTGCAAACATATACAAAAGAAGAAAGGAATGATGAAACTTCACATAGCTATCACCCAGTTTAAACAATTAACCAACTCATAGACAATTTTGTTTTATCTATAATTCCACCCACTTTACTCTTCTTCCCCCAGTGGATTATTTTGAAGACAATCCCAGACATTATATTGTTTCAACCATAACTATTTCAATATGTAATCTCTACAGACTAAAAGACACTATTGAAAGACACATATTGAAAGATACTGCCAATGTCCTGCATAAATTCTTGTACTGGTGGGTCAGATTTCCAACATAAGCATTCCCACAGTAAACCATATACTAGTCACAGGAATTTTACATATATTAATTCATTCTACTATACTTCCTTACAAGTTAAATCACTTAAAAGTAGGGCTCTCAAACAATAAAATGAAGAAGAAAATGGCTTGAATAGTTTGTTCCAACTGTGACAGGACCACTGATCAAGGATGCACTTAGACACCACTCAGGAAAAGGCGGAGAAGAGTCACGCTCTCACTCTCCCCCACCCCTCAGAGGCGAATGACTCCACAGGATACAAGTTATCTGGTATATGATAACACAACACAGTAATATTATATAATTATTATTATACATAAAGTAATTCATGTAGTTGCATATTTTATAAAACAAATGCAATAAAACTAGCTCAATGTAGAAAATTTTTATTCAACTGTCCTTACCTTTTGTTGGACTGAGATTCTGATCTATAAATCCTCTTAGTTCTGCATTTGTGGAACTCAAACCAACCTAAATAAAATAGTTTAAAAAATTAAAAAAATAGGATCTTAGGTATTACGTGATCACTTAATAAGCTATTTTATACCTACCACCAGACATCCATATCAATTATTACATATAGTCACATAAAAATGAATTAATTATATCAACTATAGGAGTAGGATTTTTTAACAATGTTGCCATATTGCTTGAAATGGGAAAAATACGATTTCCAGATTAAGATAAAAATTAAATGACTTATGAGCAGAACTGAGATCTACAGATTTTTACTAATGCTTTTTTGAAAGCAAGTAATGTGGCAGCTGTGAAGTTGCCAACAGACATCCCAAAATTCCACCCTCATTGCTTCCCTTAATAATCACTGCCTATAATGCTTTTCAATATTAGGACATGTAATGGATCAAATAAAGACCATTAATACCACAAGGCAGACTTGAGGCCCACAGGCCTCAAGTCCAACTGCTCAGGTTCATACGCTGGCTCGTCAGGCTGACCACGCGTGTGGCCATGGTCACATACACTCTCTGTCTCAGTCTTCTTATCTGCAGATCGGAGGGTGCTAGAAGTACTTACCAATTCAGGTTGTTAGAAAGATTAAGTAAGATCATTCATGTAAAGCATAGAGGACAGTGCTTGACACAAAGTGCTCAACCCACGCTAACATTTATTGCTATCAGTATGATACTGGAGGGACTACCGAGAGCAGGTGTGTTCATAAATTCAGCTTTAGACAATATATTTCATTTAATGTGACGTCCACTAGACTACTTGAAATTATAGAGCTAAATATGGTAGTGTCATCAAACAGAGTTCTAAAAATTTATTATAGAGCCAGGAGAAAAAAAAACTCTTCATCTTTGAAAACTCAACACAAAGCAAGCATCCAATAAATGGTTCTACTATTACTATTATATTGCTGTTTTAATCCTTGTAGTTTTGTGATGTTGAAACATCAATGCTAATTTAGGACCTCAAACGTCCTTTCAAAGTACTACCACACCAAAAGGATTGTACAGCACACAAAGCTCTACCACTTTCTATCTGTACACTGGACTTAGGTTTCTAAACTACCCACTGCTGTAACATTATTCTTCATAAGCACTCATTTGATACTTTACAATTTCATAATGTAAGAGCAAATTATTTCATTATTTGGTAATTCAATGCTCTACTAATAGCTGTTTCTTTTTGTTTTATGTTACCAGAAATATTTCTACATATCATTCACATCATGAAAAACAAATTCTGATGCAAACCTATCTCTAGCATCTAATACTAAATTTTTATGACAGCAGCTGAGACGAAGACTACAATATAGCTAAAATACAGCTTCTTAACTCTATGTACATAATGGTGTAGATTCTTAATTCTGTCTACTTTCTTCTAAGTATTCTGTTAGAAATAAACCCCTTGCAACAGATTACCCCCACATGGATCTCCAGAGCGGCTCACAAATATAAAGTGCTCAATCTGTAAATGCCAAGAGTTTAGTGTGGGATCACTAACAGGCCTCCCCTTTTAAAACTCTTCTGCTATTAAAAAAAAAGAGGAAGACAAAACTTTTCTTGGTGTTCTACTGTAAAAAGAAAGCAAAGAAGGCAAAGAAGTCCTTTAATATATTCCATGCTTAACACAATGTGACCGTTTAATACATGTATTACAATAGCTTCAAAACCATCAGCTTACATCTTTTTGTTATTATACAAAGATAACGGCAAAAACCTCAACTAAAACCACACAGTCACAGTCGAGAGTTCACAGTTACCGGGTTACTGTTATGTTTAACACCTGCTCTTAATGTTCAACTTTTGCAGCGTAAAGCAGCAAACGAATTTTTAAGCAAACGAAACTTTTTAAGCCGTTGTACACCTGCACCTTAATATCCAACAAATTATACTCTAACAAGACAAAGGTAAATTGTGAGTTAATATTGTATGCCAATTTTGGTCTTATAGATGGAGGTGTTAGCATTTAGAGCTTATCTAAATACTACTAAAATCTATTTAATTAAAACTCCAAAAATGTATCAATTTCGGCTTCCATAAACACTTTAAAGACTCAAAGAAAAAGTATATTACTTGAGAGAAGAAAAAGTTGGCTAGGAAAGGAATTTAAAAAGATTAGTTATTCTTTCCTTATTCTATTTAAAAAGGATCTTTCTATGATGTATCACAGAGCAAGAGAGAAAAGAGAACTCATTTTATGTAAAAGTTTTCATCTAATAAGGTACTGAGAAGAGTTTTCTATCTGGATATTCGAACACTGTGTTGCATGCTCTAAGTAGTCAATAAATGTCTACTGAATAAAAAACATCCAAGCACAATTTTTAAGAATCAAACCATATTCCCCAATAACAGCATTACAATCTCACTTATATTTAACATTCTAGATTGACATAACTGAAAGAAAAGAGGATTCAGAGTGAGATGATCTGTGCTCAAGGTTCAGCTCTATCATTCACAAGAAAGGTGATCTTGAAGCAGTCACTGCAAAATGAGGGTGACAACACATATGTGTGTGACAAACTCCAAGAGCTCCTCGGATCAATTGAATAATTAGGTGAACATGGTGTTAATGGCAAAGCAATATTCAAGCGGGGGTTGTTATTCATATGGCAACGGCTTTTAACACTTCAACACTGACACAGAGAACTTATTAAAGAGAAATGCAAATGACCAATAAACATACAGAAGACCAGTTTGACCTAAGTAGTAATCAGAGAAATGTAAAAAAAATCACATACTATTTTTTTGCTGAGTAGATTGGCAAAGACTAAAAAGAAAATAAATGGAAATGGAACTCTCATACACCACCAGTGCGTATGAAAATTGGTGCAATCTTTCTGAAATGCAATTTAGCAATATGAACCAAAAGCCCCAAAAAAGCAAACATCCTTTGGGCCAGCAATTTCGTAAGACTTTGCCTCAGGGAAATAATCCAAAAAGTAAGCAAAAATAAATGAAAAGTTTAAAAAAATGGAAATAACTTAATGGCCAATATTAAGAAACTGGTGTAATGTCTATACAATAGATAAAACGGCCATTTAAAACGATGTAGTGATAACAAGAAAGACCATCATAGAGATTAAGTTAAATAGTGGGCTACAAAAACGGTATGACCTCATTTTTCTTAAAAAGCATATAATATACATACATTTTGGTTTATATATATATACACATACACATTTTTTATATACCAGATGTCATTCCAGGCAAAATTTTGCTGATAATCTCTAGGCTAGTTTCTTTTCTTTATCTGTATTTTCTAATTTTTCTGTAATGAGTACTATGGCTTATATATTTTTTTAAAGATTCTTTCACAGGGCAAAAATTACACCTCAAATTATCTTTCAAATTCTTTATTGTGTATTGGGTGAAACTAGGTTAGAACACACCTGTATTTTCAGTCTAGAAGAATATCATTGGATACTAGATACTGTTTGGTAACAATTTTATCCCAGATACGATGAATATATTGCCAGCTCTGCAGAACTCCTTTTGCAAAAATCCATCTCACAGTCCACGTAGTCCTGGTAGGAGCCTCAGTTGTGCCATAGCAGCAGAAGTGGACCCAAGACCCAGACCTGGCCATTTATGGTACCCCACTTCTTTCTCCACACTGGCTTGTCTGAGCATGTGGGCCAAACAGGGTCACCCAAAGCTTCTCAATGGAATTTGAAATATAAATGCCAAAAAAGAAAAGTTCCTTCTCTTCTTCTGAGGTAAGCATTATAAAGCCAATGTAGGCTTATATCTACATTGATCCCCTGAATCCAGATGTGTTTGAAGCCAGAGCACTCTAGACTTTTCGGTTATGTGAATCAATACATTCCACTTTTTGCCTTAAGCTATTTTGAATAAGCTCTCTGTCACTTGCAACCATAAGAGACCTAGTATAGCAAGGATAAGGCAAAGTAATTCTTCATAAAAAACTGTTCTCATAAGAGAAATGCAAAATGAGAAACAGAAAATAAAGATGTAAATATCTGAACATATGTTTAACGACACCTCCATAAGACCTGGGCCATCTCTTCCATATCTGAGTCACTTCTCAGTGGCATGTGACACATTGATCACTCGCTCCCTCCTTCTTGAAACACTTTCTTCCCTTGACTTTCAGATCATCAGGACAACACTGCTTCCTTCCTTTCTGGCCATTCCTTGAGTCTCCTTTGTACTTCAACTCCTCCCCAGCTGTTGGAGGATCCCTGTGCTCAGACCTTGGTCCTCATGTATTCTCCATCCACGTACATACTACATAATCTCATGTAGTCCCACCGCGTTAAAATAATTTAATATAAAATGACTCCAAAATTTCTATATCCAGCCCCAAGCCTTCCCCTGAGCTCCAGAGTCACTTATCAAACTGCCTAGCCAATATCTCCATCTGGATGTTTTTTGGTCCCTCAACTTCAATATGTTCAAAACAATTTCTGAGTTTGCCACAAAATCCTGCACTTCCCCAAGAGTTTCTCTCCACATTAAATAGCACAGCCATTTACCCAGTTCCAGAGGCCAAATACTGAGAAGACTTCTTTAACCTCTCCCCTGTATCCTAATTCCTGATGGCTGTCCTTTCAAATACATCCTAGACCCAGCCACTTTTCCCCGTCTCCAATATCATTACCTCAACCTGAATCACCAAACTCCGCTGTCTGAACTACTGGGATAAGTACCAAATGAGTCCCTCGCTTCTGCTATGTCCCTCTTCAGTCTATTCACTCAGGAGCCAGAACAAACTTAAAGATGTTAAGTCAGGCCATGCAACTATCCTCAAAACCTCCTCACTTGACATTTAAAATCCACACCCCTCACCCCAGTCTTCGAGGCTCCACGTGATCTGGCTCCTGCTTGCTTTCCAACTTCATCTCCTATCACTCTGCATTGTTTACTCTCTTCCATCTATAAACTGCTCATCTTGCTGGTCCTTGAACAACCACACTTTCACCCGCCTCTATCTGGAGTGCTCTTTCTCCAGATAGTCACACGGCTGGCTCCTTCTTGGATCAAGACTCCAGAGCATTTCTCTGTCTAAAGGTGATTTTCTTAAAGAGGACTGTTCTGAACACCTAGCTGAAAGAGCTTTCCCTCATCCCCATCACTCTTTCTCCTCTCACCCTGTTTTATTTTTCTTCAAAACACATAACATCACCTGACATTATATATTTATTTATTGTCTTCTCTCACTACACTACTCTAAGCCCCAAGAAGGCAGGAGCCTAGAGCAGTGCCAGGCACGTATATTTGTTGGAGAAAGGAGGGAGGGCAGAGAGGAGAATAAATTGCCCTTGGTGGTGTAAACTGGTATAATCCTTTCAGTATGTATCTTGACAAAACACATTAAAAGTCACAAAAACATTCTTATCTATTGCAGAATGGCTAGTGAACTTGATTGGGTATTTTGAGACAGCCTATTTCAATTCTTTCCCGCAAGCCTCAGCACCTTCTGAGGCTTGATCTCTCCATGTCCGTCACTCCAGGGTATCAGAAGAAAGTCGGGTCATCACTGTCCGTCCCCCTCTAGGCTGCTATAGCAGAAGGAGAAACGCATTGCCCGCTGTCTGATTTCTTCCAAACATACAAACAAAATAAAATAACTAGAGTATAATTACCACTGGTTCAAATGCTTTATGTTACTTTATGGAAACAATTTTTAACATAGCAAATGGTACACACAGCTAGGAAGATTATATAGATTCAAGGTATATTTTAAGCCAAAATATCTTGTTGCTCGGAATAACTTTTACATCACCTTTTTTCCAAAGGAGATAAAATCACGATAATATCCTGCAAGAAAACTCCTAATACATGGACTAAAACTTTGGTTCTTCTTTTCCCCAAACAGTACTTTAACAAACATACACAAGAACCTTAGATCAAAACAGACTACTCCTGATAATTTATCCCAAGAAAATTAATTAGATGACAATGAAGCAAAATCTCTATCTGCTTACAGCTACTAATGCATGTTAAAAGCAAGGGTAATAGCTGGAAAATACCGATAAGTAATGGGACTCTTTTAATGCTATTCTTTAGATGTACAATGAGTAGTATTTGGAACTATTTGTCTGGCACACAAGGAGACCCTCTGATGCAACACAACGCTTGTGTCTCCTGGTCACAACTAACCAAACCAAGAGTGGATATCAGACTCAAGCAGTGCCAGAGGTCCTCCCAAGGAGACTGAAATTGCAGCTGACATAGGCAGACAGGATGTGTCAGGCTGCCTCCCTCCCTTCCTTCACTCTCCTTTTTCTCTGAACAGGCTGGTTCTGTAAGATGTACACCAAGATGCTGACTGGAGAACTGAGGAAGATGATTTGCAGAAAGACAGAGTAATGAAGTAGATGCACAGAGACAAGCAGAGATGACAAAGGAAAACCAAATAGGGCTTCAATTCCCAGTAGATTTCAAGTTCCTGGACTCAGATCTTTCTGAGGGCCCACTAAATTCCTACTCTTGAATTCCTTGAGACATCCCTCTATCTTTATAATAAATTCCCTTTTTGTTTAAGGTAGCCTCAACTGGTTTCTGTTACCTGCAATCAAAGATTCCAACATAATAATCTAGGAACATTAGAGCAATTAGAATAAGTTATTTCCTTGTATGTTGTACTACTTATTTTCTGGCATAATCCTTCACCATAACTGGAAACAAACCCACTGACATAGAGTGATAATTAGAATGTAACTTGAAAGAAAGCAGATTCATAAACAATAGTCTCAAGCAGAGGAAAAAAATGGAATAACTTCTCTAAAACATCTGAGGTCTAAGGTCCCCTCAGTAATCATCTCATTGAGGACAGCAGGCTTCTTCTGAACGTTTGAGTTCACACCTTTCCCTGAGTAAATCCAAGGGAAAAAATGAGCCAAAGAAAACAATGACTTTCTCAGTAAGGCCAAGTAACTCTCCAGCAAGTACCAAAACAAATTTATTACAGTACCAAAAAAGGAGGGGGGTGGGGAACTCTCTGGAGACAGCAATTTTGCAGCTGTTGAGAAGGAGCAACATACAAGAATGCCACCCCGCCCACTGAGGTACAATATTCAATAGCATTAAGGTTTACTGTGTCATTCTTCACATAAACAAAACAATTATAAATTAATGCCAGTAAATTAAATTGATTAATCAGAATAGAGAAGAAAATATACATAGGAAAAAGCACAACTCACTTTTAAAATACTTACATTTAAAAATTTACAAATACTTACATTTTTTGCCGTCATGTCAAATTGTATTCGTTTTAAAATTCTGAAAAGCCATTAAAAAACAAACAAAACACAAAAATAAAAAAATTTCCTCTTCAATAATTCTTTAAAAGATCATCCTGTTAAAAGGGGAAAAAAAGAGGGAATAGTAATGTAATAAAAATAATAATAGGCAACATTTATGTCATATTTACTATGTGACATGCACTGTTCTTTAAGTGAATGGTCTAAATCAATCCTCACAACAATACTACGAGATGTGTATCATTTTAATCCTCATTTCCCAGATAAAAATTGGAGTTTAAAAATTTTATTTTATTTTTTCCTTTTTCTCCCCAAAGCCCTCCGGTACATAGTTCCATATTTTTAGTTGTGGGTCCGTCTAGTTGTGGCATGTGGGATGCCGCCTCAGCATGGCTTGATGAGCGGTGCCATGTCTGTGCCCAGGATCCGAACCAGCGAAACCCTGGGCCACTGAAGCAGAGTGCTCGAACTTAACCACTCGGTCACAGGGCCGGCCCCAAAACTGGAGTTTAGGTATAAATAATTTTACCAAATCAACTCAGCTAACAAGCAATAGAGCCTGGGCTTTGAAATATTATACCATGTTGTTTTAGATAATCCACTGAAAGAAACATGAGGGCTTCTTGGAGAAATAGCCAATTCCAGGTCTGGGGCAGGAAATGTACAAGACAAGCCTAGAACATTTTATTGTACCTAAAGTAAGGAAGGGCTCAAACAATGATGGAGACCTCTCAAAGGTAGGCAGGAGCCAACTTAAAGGGCCTACAACTGGACAATTTGGGACAAGTGAGCACCAAAGTATATACTGATAGTAACAGATTATAACAGACTATAAACCCACTGAATAAAATAAAAATGCAGGAGTCCATACTGATAGAAACAAAAGGTAAGGAAGAAGGGAAAGCTCTTCTTTGCAATACAATGTCAACCAGTAAATATAAGGAATGATGCAGTTAGAAAGCCATCTGTAAACATCATAAGAAGAACTGATTAGGGAAGAATCATGAATAGATGCTAAAACTAGTGGATGAAAGTTGGTGAGAAAAAGGATATTTCCATAGTCTTGAAATATCTCCCCACAAAATACCTATTAATTCAGATTTTACAGGGAACAAACCTGGCACACACCATTTTAGCCAACGTGATCAAAGCTACCATATGACCACCACCAACAGGACAAACCAACACCTGGATCTCTTCAAGTACACTGAGAGGAGTATAAAATCACTTCAAGGTATTTCCGCCCAAAGTGCATAATCTAAATCTAATCATAAGGAAATATCAGACAAATTCAAATTGAGGGACATTCTATAAAATAATGGTCTAAACTCTTCAAAAATGTTAGTATCATGAAAGACAAAAGATTCCTGACAAATATCCCAGATTAAAAAAGACTAAAGTCACATGAAAATTAAATTCAACACATGATCCCAGACTGGATTCTGGACCAGAAGAAATAACTGCTATGAAGAGTATTATTGGAGGAATTGGAGAAATCGAAATATGTTCCACAGACTAGATAATAGTATTGCTTCAGTGTTACAATTTCCTGCTTTTGATCAGAGTATCGTGGGGTTTTTTTAAGTGAATGTCCTTGTTCTTAGAAAGAATACATCAAGATGTTTAGGAGTGTAGGGGTATGATAGCCACTTACTTTCAAATGAAGAAAAAAATATATAATCTATATATAGAGAGAAAGTAGGAACGATAAAGTAGATGTGGCAAAATGTTGACAACTGGTGAATCTCGGCAAAGGGTATTCACAGATTCTTTGCTCTACTTTTGCAACTTTTATTTTAAAATTATTTCAAAATTAAAACTTTAATAAGACATTCAAGGGGAACGATAAAATAAAATTTAATCTTGAAAAGACCATAAATAATGAGGGCTTAAAGAAATGGAGCCTCCAAATGTCTGCCTTATAGGCTAGAATGTGAATCCTTAAGTGAAAACTTGTAGAAAAAAAAGCTGTATTTGCTTTTCAATAAAACACTGAGTTTGCAATTTTTCAGTGATAGAGAAAATAGAAACATGAATAGATCTTGAGGCTACTATACTAAGGAAAGTATGTTAGAGGGAGAAAGTCAAACACCATTGATTTCATTGATATGTGGAAGATACAACAACAAACAAACATACAGACACAGAGAATAGACTGATGGTTACCAGAGGGGAAGCGGGGAGGGGTAAAGGGGCACATTTGCACCGTAACAGATGGCAACCAGACTTTTGGTGATCAATACAATGATGTTTATACAGAAGTTGATATATAATGATGTACACCTGAAATGTATCTAATGCTATAAACCAGTGTTATCGCAATTAAAAAATAAATTTAAAAAATTCAAGTAAGATCTGAACTATACCTATGATTTTTGCTTTCCCACTGTAGCTTCAGATTTGTTCACAATGTCTATCATGACCTAATATGAAAATCAAGTTCCTACATGGGGCTGGCCCCGTGGCCGAGTGGTTAAGTTTGCGCGCTCCGCTGCAGGCGGCCCAGTGTTTCGTTGGTTCGAATCCTGGGCGCGGACATGGCACTGCTCATCAAACCAGGCTGAGGCAGCGTCCCACATACCACAACTAGAAGAACCCACAACGAAGAATATACAACTATGTACCGGGGGCTTTGGGGAGAAAAAGGAAAAAATAAAAAAATCTTTAAAAAAAAAAAATCAAGTTCCTACACTACAACTGTTTTAAATTTATCAATTATTTATTTCCTCTTCAGTATTATACATAGGAGATAAATAATAAAGCACAAGTTCCTGATATTCCATTCACCAAACTACCTGACACATTAAAACTAAGAATTTAAGGCTAAAATTTAAGTATTTCACTTTGAGGATTAATGTTTTAACCAAGCTTGACCTAACAGATCTAGACAGAACTCTGCACCTAACAGATATGAAACATCAAAGAGATGCGTAAAGAAAGCACATATTTACAAAATTTATCCACGTACAAAATCACCAAAGAAGTAGCAACAAATTTCCAAGAGGCAATTCCACAATGCAATTAAATGAGGAAACAGCCATTTTAAGAAAGCAGTTAAAAGTCATGGATTTAGAAAATAAAACTATATTATTGTACAAACCACCCATGAATTAAAGAAAGAAATTTGAAATATTTAGAACTGAATGACAAGGAAAATAGGCATGAAAAAAAACCAAAATATTTAGAACTAAATGACAACAAAAACAACAATAAAACTTGTAAGGTACAGCTGAAATAATACGTAGAGGTAAATTTATATTTCTTTTCATTCATTAAGCAACCAACTTAAGAGCTTAAAAAGATCAGCGGGAACTCAGAGAAAGAAGAAAAGAAAGAGCAAGAATTAATGAAATAGAAAAAAAGTCAATGCAATGGAGAAAAGAAAGTCTCTTCAACAAATGGTGCTGGGAAAACTGGACAGCCACATGCAAAAGATTGAAAATTGACCATTCTTTTTCACCACACACCAAAATAAACTCAAAATGGATCAAAGACCTAAAGATTAGGCCTGAGACAATAAGTCTTCTGGAAGAGAATATAGGCAGTACACTCTTTGACATCAGTTTCAAAAGAATCTTTTCGGACACTATAACTCCTCAGTTGAGGGAAACAATAGAAAGAATAAACAAATAGGACTTCATCAGACTAAAGAGATTCTTCAAGGCAAGGGAAAACAGGATTGAAACAAAAAAACAGCTCACTAATTGGGAAAAAATATTTACAAGCCACTTATCCGACAAAGGGTTAATCTCCATAATATACAAAGAACTCACACTGCTTAACAACAAAAAAACAAACAACCCGATCAAAAAATGGGCAGAGGACATGAACAGACATTTCTCAAAAGAAGATATGAATATGGCCAATAGACACATGAAAAGATGTTCATCATCGCTAATCATCAGTGAAATGCAAATCAAAACTACACTAAGATATCACCTTACACCCGTTAGATTGGCAAAAACATCCAAAACCAAGAGCGACAAATGTTGGAGAGGTTGTGAAGAAAAAGGAACCCTCATACACTGTTGGTGGGAATGCAAACTGGTACAGCCACTATGGAAAACAGTATGGAGATTTCTCAAAAAGTTAAAAATAGAAATACCCTATGACCCAGCCATCCCATTACTGGGTATCTATCCTAAGAACCTGAAATCAGAAATCCCAAGAGTCCCTTGCACCCCTATGTTCATCGCAGCATTATTTACAATAGCCAAGACGTGGAACCAACCTACATGCCCAGAAACTGATGATTGGATAAAGAAGATGTGGTATATATGCACAATGGAATACTACTCAGCCATAAAAAAAGACAAAATTGGCCCATTCACAGCAACGTGGATGGACCTCGAGGGTATTATGTTAAGCGAAATAAGCTAGTCAGAGAAAGACAAACTCTATATGACTCCACTCATAGGTGGAAGTTAGTATATTGATAAGGAGATCTGATCGGTGGTTACCAGGGAAAAGGGGGGGTGGGGGGAGGGCACAAAGGGGGAAGTGGTGTACCCACAACATGACTAACAAAAATGTGCAACTGAAATCTCACAAGGTTGTAATCTATCATAACATTAATAAAAAAAAAAAATAATAACAACTGGTTCTAAGTGTCCTGCTTGAAGAAGGTAACCAACAAGCAAAGCAGCAGTGTCAGCAGAGTGGAAAGAGCAGGGATTTTTCTTGAACTTAGCCTCAGTCTCAGCTCTGACACTTATTAGTTATGGGACCTTGAACGAGTGATTTAACCTCTTTGAGCTTCAGTGTCCTCGTCTGAAAATAGGTATACTGAGGTCTTCAGGGTTATGTCAGGAGTAAACTAGACACAACCTGTCTAAGTGAAAACCACTAGATCGCCCAGGTCAATGTGCCAAATGCCCTCCAGTTCACACGAACACTGAACACTCCTCACCACACAAAAAATTCAATTTTCAATATTTTTAAGATTACCTTATGACCTACTAAAATGTAGTTATAACAAAAAACAACGAAGTCTTTTCCATTCAAAGTACCTATTAAATTTTAGAAATCTGCGATACATCTGTCTAAGGCAGATACTGTTGCCCACCTAATGTCATTTCTTCTTCCTTAGGAGACG